ATAATAAATACATTTTATGCACATTAACTTCAAATTTACTTCAGAAAGCTATTTACAATATAAATAATTATAAATGGGAACACTTTGCAAGATATCATTGACATAGCTAATATCTTCTACTTTACATTCCAAAGTAAAAGTTCAAATTACAGATTTATACTACGATGTCACTAAAAACTATACATTGCAAGATGGTATTTGAAATATTGGCAATCAGTATCTTCTTTCACAAATATAATCCTTTTTATAGCATGTCAGTCAAAAAACAAACATAAAATATTTTTATCTTTTTTGAAATGCCTACTTATGTTTCACTTTTCGAAATATTTCCCTTTGGAAAAAAACAGAAAAAAGTTACAGTACTTCTAAAAATTTTTCCACGCCAATTTCATTTCTTTTGAAATGTAAACACACCAGGGTTGTTGGTGTAAATTCAACTGTGATTAAATGTGTTCCAGATCAGCAAATTAGGACAAACTCTCCACTGTATAGGTATATGAAAGCAAAATCCCATGCAGCAAAATTGTAATAAATAAAATTAAAAGTGTTTGGTTCAAAAGTATTAGGATTTCTTGTGTGAACCATCAGTTTTTAAGGAGCACAGCGGAACAGAATCTTGTTACTTGCTTTACAACTCTGTGTGTGTGTGTGTGTGTGTGCGCGCGTGCGCACACACACACACACACACACACATATAGCCTCTCTGCATACAGTCCTAGAGAAGGAATTCTGAACAAACCCCTATTTGAATATGAGCACAATATCACTTTTTGAGTTAAGCACTACCCGTACAACTCTTGTGCACAAGAAATGAGCACCACATGGTAATTTCCCCCAAGAACATTTTCTATGTAAGATACCCTTTGCATGTGTCCATAGTTGTTCTGTAATTCATTTAAAGTTTAAAATGATCTTTTATCCACAATGCATGTCCCAGTAAGAACTAACCAGTAGATTCTGCTGTCTTAGAGTCAAATCCCTATTCACAAAAACTGACATTTACGTGAAAGTTGAATCACTTATTTGGAGAGCCATAGAATTTACATTCTTTAAATCATTCAGAAAATAGAATGTGTATCTATGTTGCATGGTTTGAATGAACTGAAGAACAAAATCTGGGCATTCAAACTTGTTTAAATCAAAGAAAGTATATTAAAGTGGAAGCTATTCCACTGGGCAAGGTAAGTAACCCCCAGATAACCAAACCCTCCATTTTCCAAATATCAGCATTCACTCTGTCACTTCCAAATACTACTAGTACTAATAGAATTGTACTGAATATCTTAGTAACATCCTGCTCTTGAAAGACAGAGAGAGCTATAAAATAACATACCTGTCTTCAGAATGTCTCTTTAGCTGTAGTGTCTTCTATCAAACTTATTTGGTCTAGGTCTTGTGGGGTAAAAAGCCTTTCATTTTATTTTAAGATAACTATGCATATTTTCCAAATGACCTTTTATTGGATAGATCCTTATCCCCCATTTAAAAAAGAAAAGAAAATGGAGCATATTATCCTTTTCTGGAAGATCCCATTAAAGCTTATTTTAAGTGGGATTCTCTGCCCAAAGGCACCATGTGGCAGCAGGGTGTAGAGAGAATTAAGGATAGTGCCTAATGGAAATATTCTAGCCCTATAAAATATAATCAAGAGAGAATGAGTGGGTTTTCTGTATAAACGCTGAAAACTAATTATTGCATCCTGTCTCATTTTGAATGTCACATCAGCACTGTATCATATTATCCTAGATCAGGCAATTACAGTTTAGAAAAGCTAGCCCATTATATTCAGCATAGTATGTCAAAAGACTTGTGAAACTGAAGGACACCTAAATGTCCGACCTGTAGTGATTATGACATTAATAGTATGCATCCAAAAATAATACATCAAATCTGTATATTCTCAATAGTTTTAACAGAATTTTCTCAAGGAACATTGGGGAAATATTTATTTATTTATTTGGTCATCCAAATTGTTAAATTAGGTATGACAGGTAGGTAAATGAGCAATAAAGATATTCTTACTATTACTAGAAAGCATGAACTTTGTATCATCTAATGAATTGCTACATATTATACTAGCAACTGGATATAGCACATTTTTATGAATCCCCAATGTGATATAAAAATCATACTTCTCTATTTCAATCTAGTATCATGATTCTCAACATTTAGCAAAGTTATGGAAATCAAGGATTAAAACTAAAGCCAATTTAAGTTATTGGTAACATGCGCATTTTACATCCCATATTTTAAAAGGACACAGATGACATCTTTGTTATGAGGAAATATGCTTCTGGACAGAACAAGATAATGTAGATTATAAATACATTTTAATACATTTTTGTGTATATTAAAAAGATACTTTGTCATAAACTGTCTCATCTTATTTTGGGTGCGTTTTGTAATAATCATGCCACATTGCCAAAAATGTAAGCTTATAATACTTGGGCCTGTAAGGCATTATATGTAATGTAATAAATCTGGCACCATAAAATTATTGACATGTAAATTAAATAAATGGTTTGTATTTAAAACTGGGTCAGCCTACCAAAATTTTTAATTAGGATGTAATGTCATTACTTCTGTCTTCACTTAAAAATATCAGTCATACCATTTTACAGGGCATTATTTCTTCTGATTACCCCTTATTTGTAGAGTTCATAATTTATTTTTTGCCAATTAACTATCTGCCATTTTAAGATTTCACTGAAGTCTCTTCAATGACATTCTTTTCTTTCATATCAATTCCTTTTCCTTGATTCTGAAGATCCTATTTATTTTATAGCATCTATCCCTGACATTTTTGGTAGAATGTATATCCATCAGTAAAACCCATCTGTGTAGATTTCCTTTCCAAAATACACCCTATTCTTCAGATGTTTGTGTCTTTGAACCATTAACCCACCTACAGAATTCCCCAAAAACTTTAGCATTCCTAAAACCTGACTTCGTGTTTCAAATTGATCGAAAATCTATTTTAAGTATTCCAGGGGTTTTTCAAGAATATTTTTCTCAAAATCACTGAACACTTCTGCTTGTGTGGTTTAATATGTAGTTTTTCTTGTTCTTTGAACTTTTTTGAAAGTATATATGATAACTACTAACTTTCTCACTTGCGCTTTTTCCATTTATGACACAAATGTCGCTATGTCATACCCAAGAAATACTTATTTAATTTCATGTCACCTCTTTTGTCATATACAAATGACCCCCCTATTCATCTCTCAGACTATCATCAGATTGTCACCTGCCTATAAACTGCCAAATAACTGTGTTAAGTGACGAAACTAGAGTTCTAATCCCTGAGTGGTCAGTGTCATGTTCTGTCTTCAACAATCATGAGTCCGTTTCTTCCAATACATTCCCCTCCTTGCAGATGGCAAGAGTTGCAGGCATGGCGCTCCTAGAAAAGACTGCCTAAGAAACTTCTCTAATCATTTGTGTCACTTTGTTTTGATTACTAGAGACTAATGCATGAAATAAATTGTCTTCATTTTCCTACTCCCTCATCAGTTTCTACCATCTACATTCTGGCTGGACCAGAAAGTTGACTGCAACTACACAAGCCTAAAAGAGCCCACGCACCTGCTGAAGTTACAAAGGACCTGGACCTCTGTAGGAGTGCAGACAAGCCAGAATGATCTGTCTTGACAACTGAGAGCAGAGAGTTAACTGGTTAATAGTGTAGTTCTGTCGCACCGATGATCCACAGAACCATGGCACGTCAGAACGGCCATACAGACAAAGACACTAGGGCCCAGGCACGGTGAGTGATACATCGATATTCCCAAACTAAGTTACAGGCGGGGTCAGGATTGGAACCCAGAGATCTTGCTTTCTAGTCTGCTGGTTTTTCTACTGTTATCACCTGAACTTAAGACCAAGTTTGTTGTTTTTGTCATTCCCAGACAATAAGGAAAACGAGCGCTTTGCGTCTTCCTTCAGTTGAAGTAACTCTGACCCTTTTAATCACTTGCCCATCAGCCTGAGCTTTTATCTTAGGCTCTCTCCTGAGGCTTTCCACATGTTGTTCTCACTTACACTGCTGCCATGTAGCCCTCCATTGGCTTTCCTTAGCTCTTTCTTGCACTTAGCAGCCTTTTTTCTTGGTGAATTGGTTTGAGTTTTTTATTTGGTTGGTTTTATAGCCCCAAATATGTTGGTTACATATTCGGAGGCTTAAATTGTTTGTGTTGAGATATCATTTCATTTCTCTCTGTCTCTGGCCTTTCCATCTTTACTAAACTATTTCCAATTGGGCATGCCAGATTTTTGATGTGTGTCCCAACATCTCAGTGCTTTTACTTAGAAAACACTTACTGCTATGTCAGTGTGATCCTGTTCCTTGTCTAACTCAAAAGTAAGGTGAAAAATCACCACTTCCTGACTGCTTAAAATGGATACCAGGTGGAAACTCATTCTTGTACCATACCCAGAACCATTTCCCTAATTTATGCCTGAACCAAATGAGCTGACTGTTTAGAAGAAACCAGTTTACAAGATGTATCTCTCTCTTTCTTAGTTATTTTAGGAATGGAAATTTCTGTAATAAGCTTAATGTGCTGGGTTAAGAAAACTTACCCGTTTGTGGGTTGTATTTAAGGTATATAGTCAACATTTCTGCATGTAAATTGTACATAGCAGTTTGTGGATAGTGGTCTGTGTGTATGAGGTTTACAACACAATGCAATACTCTTCTACCAGTCCTTTCATGTGGTATATATGCTCACTTAATCTACAAGAGTACTTTTCAATTCAAAATTTATCTATTCTGGTTCCCATATAATTAGATGGGCAATTTATATATTCACTTTAACTCCATTATCTGTGTGTAACCCTGAATGCTAGTGCTCTTTGATTTTGCAGGAACACATGTCAAATATCCAGTAACTTAAATTATCCTCTCTAACCATCTGTGGCATAGTAAATGCTGGTAATGGGGCATTAAACTATAAATATGTTTCAGAGATCCTTAAAGAACAAAATATTTTAGAAAAACATCAGCTTCCATTGGTTATTATAACAGATGTTCCCTTGTGTCCTTGTGCCGGGTCTGGCTGCATCCTTAGATGGGAAGTTACATCAAAGTGTGAGCCATTACAGCCCAAGGAATAGTTTCTAATGGTTTCACTGTCATATAAGTGCTCCAGGGCATATCCAGTTAATGTGTAAGCATGCTTATCAAAATACTGCCGGTGAGAACCAAAGCAGTTTGGAGAGACGGCAGGATGGTCTCCCGCTGTCTGATGTGGAGACATATCCGAATGTAGATAGTCTTTAGCTAGGATCAAACTGGATTTTGAAATGCGATCCGAATTGGGACTACTTATTCGAGACAGTGCAGTGGGACTGTTGTCATAGTCATTTTCATGGGGGCTCAGCATCTTTCCCTCTCTCTGCTGGATGTGGTCACATGGTGAAGTGTTGGCAAGAGCAGAGCTGTGGCAGACTTCCCCTGTTGGCGGGGGCTGTTGGTAGTTTGCAAAACAGAGGGAGTGTTTTTTCCCAGCTCCATTAATGGAAGCCAGTTGGTCTGGGGGGGCTTTCCTTAGCTGCAATCTGTTCTCTTCTTCTTTAATCATTTGCTGGGTGGCTCTTATCAGAGTTTCAATTTTGCTAGGCTCGTGTGGGCTACTTTGATACTGCTCAGTGCGATATCGGTCACCTGATTCGCTGGCAGACCCAGGGTCTGGAGAACTGACCACACTATCTTCATCCCAATGACCTCGCCCTAGAAATTAAAAAAAATAAAAAGTAAGTGGTCTCAAAATTCATCCCCAAAACTGTAAGTGTGTTTCTTTTTCCTATTAAAAGAAACATTTATCTTTCATTTTTGAATGTATGCACCAATATTTTAAACAGACATAGGCTCACATGACAAAGCGTCAATGTATTGTACTGGCATTCCTAGTTTTCAGTGGCTTTTAAGTGTAGATGAAGTTTATCACAAGTATTTTAGAAGGTAAACCTTGCCCGTGGGTCCTGGATGCCAATTAACAAAATGGTAGAGTGTTTTTACTTCTCCATGTACGCATATAGTTGGACCTGTCTGACTGTAAATAATAAAAGAAAAATGCATAGCATTTGGTTTATGATACTTTCTAGAGAAATGTTACATTAAACTGATGCTTTGAAAATGCTTTCCATTGGGTTTGAGGAAGACAATGATAGAGACTGGACTACTTTCCCAGTTCCAAATAAATCATCTAAAATGTTAAAATTATTAAGTGTATCATAAGTAGAATTACAATAAAGCTCTAGTGTTAGTTTTAAAACTATTTGAGGGTTAAATATATATATATTCATAAATACACATATATGTATATGTATGCATGGATATATATATCTTGTCCCAATCAAAAATATAAATACTGTCTCCTCAAATCTAGAGATATAAATCTCAGTTTTACATATACTCATATGGTAACTCTGGTATCTTAGTTTCTGAAGTAAGGTAAAGAATAAATAAATATTTAAAATGTTAATAACAACCTGTTCTGAACCAAGGAGAGAGATGAATACAGAGGAACAATGCATCCAAAATATATTCCATAAGCTACATTATTCTTAAAACAGTGTGAAGTCAATATAAAAAGGGAAAGGAAAAGCAGGAAGGGACATATGAAAGCTGTAAACTGCTTAATGCAGAAGGGAAGCCCCTGGATCACACTATTCATTGCTTTCCTTTTCCTCTTTCTTCTTATTTTATTTCTAATATTTTCCTCCAGACCGTGTAGGTTAAGCCAGGATTTTCGCTTCACTCCATTCTTTGGCAAGCAATTGCCCTTTGTCCCGGGTTTCCATTACCAGTCTACCATACTAAAGAAACTCAAAGCAAAAGCAGAAAAATAAAAAGCAAAAACAGAAACAAATTAAAATCCTTCATGGAAGGCTGTCAGTGCCTGGGTGGTGTCTGACAGAGACCATGGGTGAGTATAACATTGTCTAGCACATTTCCCACCCTAAAGACCCAGCAAGAAGAGTAGTATCACCCTGTTCGATCAATCTTAATGTCACTGACTTTTAATGAAACAGGGAGGGTGTCAGAGACCTGCCCGGACCCAAGCCTGGAATGGATAGAACGGGCTCTCCTTTACCAGTTTACTTTGAAATGAACAAATAAGAGCATTACTGGCACTAAAGGCTTCAACCACAGTGCCCATTTCTATGTAGTCATAAAACTGTATAATAATCCCAAGGTGAAAATTTCCATGGGTTCTATATATCACTCCATCTTTCACCCACAGAAGACATTGTAGGTTGTCATAATAATGGGGGAAGGGGGTGGTTACCAGTATTTAATGCCCAGAGGACCAGGAGGGTTAAACCATCTATGAAGTGAGTGATAGACCATAAAGCAAAGCCTGGACTCCCCAATGGGTCAGTGGGGCCCTCATTGAGAAGCATTGCTAAATGAGCCCCAAAACTACAGAGGTCCACTTTTGAACCATCAGAATACAGAAGAAAATCACACACAAGAAATTTAAATGCATACATATTACAAGTTCAATAGGCTTACTCAACAATTGACTTTGACTTAATTTCTATACTTTTTATGATGTTTACAATGGAAATCATTTTTACTCACATGTCAAAAATAAATGCATGTGGCAAGCATGAGCAAAATTAATACACGTAAAAAGAGTGGATGTGGTTTGTAAAATCCCACTGGTGTGAGTTCCTGATTTGTCAGTTCAAAGGAGAAAACCACTGGCTCAGTCCCTCCAGTGTCAAACCTAGAATCTTAGAGACCTGCCCAGGGGCCCAATGCTGCCAGCTCAGGACTCATTTCAACCGCCCTTACCGTGGATCCTGTGGACGGAAGCGATGTGAGGCATGCTGTTTTCATAGGCTTCTCTGCTTTCTGGGGAAGACTTGGTCAGGGGCAAGGCTGCACGAGAGCCCCACCAGGGCTCCCTCCCGGCCTGCGGCGTTCCCAGGAAGTACCTGCCTGCCTCACACCGGCCTCCCTCGCAGGCCTGGGTGTGGAAGTGCCTCTCCTCCACCAGCCTGGAATGGTCCAGCGCAAAGCCATAGCACAGGGAGCTGCGGTCAGAGAACTGTCTATAGGCGCACGAGGCATCATGCTGAGAGCCGGGTCTCTCCGCGGGGTCCAGGAGCTGCGGAGAGGCTGTGTCGGTCAGGGGACTTCCACCCCACTGGCTGTCGTGATCAGATTCAGATCTTTCCGTGTGAAATCCCGAATACTGAAACCAAGAGAGTGAGAAAAGTACATTTCAAAAAAAAAAAAAAATGCACCACGACGGTCACGTGAGCCTTAAGGCACCAAAATAAGCCCTATAAATTCTAGCACCACGCTGGGCACCCCTGACTTGGAACCACTTAATCAGTCATGGTGCCTCAAAAGAAAATCCTTTTGGCTGCTGAAAGGAGGTAAACATAATAATAACAGAAATGGAGGAACTAAATAGCAGGCTGCAGAAGCACTTCACGTGAGTGACCTCACGTAGTTCCTCTATCAACCCTTTAATGAAAAGATTAGTAACCCATTGCATGAAGAGAGAAACTAAGGCCCAAGAGAGACAATGATCTGCTCAAGGCCACAGGTGAGCAGGCGACAGAGTCAAGATTCAAACCCAAGTCCTCCATCACTACCCACAGGGCATTGCCAAAGGGGAGAGTCCGAGAAAGCTCTAAATTTTATTCCAATTTGCTGTTCAGATTTCTTTTTCTTAATTTAAAAACAAGACAAAAATAAGGTTTAAGGCCCAAAGTGCTACATCTTCACTCTTTATACTAGACTGTTAACTCTCTGAGGGCCATGCTAATAAAGGCTTAACTAATTCAATGGCAATACAATGTTTAAAAAGACTTGCCCATATAGGCTGAACCTATTCACTAGGAGGCATTTCTTGCTTCCCAAAGTAAGCTCACAGGACAAAACAGCTTCAGGCAACAGTGTGCCTTGCTGGAATCATGCTGCTCACCTGTTGCCAGAGTTATTTGATCTGGTGTTGAAAGAAAACGCAAAAGATTTGGCAGAACTCCCTAGGAGGTATGCTCAGTTTGAAGTTCCTCACAAGTCACTCAAATTAGTAATATAATTTCTACCAGTTTTTGGTTACCTAACTAAGGCTAAACACAAGTCTAGGTACCATACAGAGACTACCTGCTATGATAATCACAGATGCCATTTATTGAGAACTTACAGTGTGTCTGGCAGTTGCTAACCATGGAACATATATTATATCACTGAATCCTCACAATCCCCTGTACAGTAACATATCTCCATTTTACAGATGGGGAAACTGCATCACTGAGAGTTTTAATAAGATGGTATGGCCACCCTGCAGTCTATCCGGCTCAAAGCCTGCACTGCAACCTTGATTTTACACTTGAGAGAAAACACTGTGAAGGAAGAGCAGAGAGAGAAAAAAGGGATCCAGTGTTAGAGACATTTCCAGAAAAGCGGCAGGGACGAAAATACAGTCTCTGGAACCAAAATATGAGTCCATTACATTTTCTTTCTTATCCCAGAAGAAAGAGGGATGGTGCTGGTGGTGTTGTGGGGGGCCCAGGAGAAATTCAGGCAGCTCTGCCTAGGGGCTCTTAGAGCCAGAGACATGAGGTGCAGAGGTTCCTCTGGGGGAACTCCAAAGTATGCCAATAACAGAGCATGTTCAGGAAGGAGTTCTACACAAATTCCAAGTTCGAGATCTTTCTGTTACCATATCTCATTATTACTTTAATTATTTTCCAAATGTACATATGGACTATCAGTATATTCCATCAAGAAAAAAAATAGTAAATGCAAATTCTCTCCCTGCAGAACTGTAAGATGAGCACCATAAGGTATCCTTAGTGCCATTTCCCTACATCACACCTCCACATGCCATCGGCTTTTTCTCCCTGTGAACACCAGCCTCTCATTTTTTCAGATGCCACCTTCACTTTCACCAAGTGAACGTTGGCACCCCCTTCCTTATTGAGGGGGGATCAGAGTGCTATACACTTGCCCGTTGGTAACACCATTTGTGCACCTGCCTAGGAGAATTTCAGATCGTCAGTGCTCTTCCAAGCCAGGAATTGCCCAGACTTTGCTTGTTTTGATAAAAGTATAAACCAGGCCTATTTCTGAAGTACTCCAGTCAAGACTTTTGAGCCTGTTGAGAGTGAAAAAGCTTTCCCCGAGTGTGTATGGGAAAGTGCTATTGGCGCAGCAGAGAAGAACATTCTGTCCTTGGCTCACAAAGAAAATTCAACACAAGGCAACCCCGGCATACATGAGGTACACGTTTCAAGAGCACCCAAAGAAGAATTTGATGGATAAGCCTCTTGTCAATAGTCAGGAAACTATAACAGCAAGCACACTGCCCTTGAAGCAGGCGGAAGTTGGGTGGTTGAGTTAGACCAAGAAGATTGGTACAGAGGAAAAGCCTAGATGCAAACCTTTGTTTTTCAAGACCTGTAAACTTGCACCTGTGTGTACCATCAATCCTCTGAGCCACATTCACCTCTTTAAAATGAATTGCACTGGATGTAAACTCTGTTGAGAACCCTATAGATCCATACATTGATCTGAAAAATTTCAGGTGTTCATCAAGTCTTAGAGGCAAGAGAGAGAGCAGAAGGGAAGGCAGGCAGATGATACATGCAGACCGTGCCATGCAATCAGTGAGTGCTGCATAAGAAGGCTCCCGGTCTTCCTCACACCTACCTTTGCTGCTTACTACATAAACAATCTTGGGCAAGTGATTTAATTTCTTTTGTACCAACAGGAAAAGGGTCGTGATGATACTTAACCTACCAAAGGCCAAACCAGAATGGGGGCCATTTAACAGAAGAGGAAATAGGGACAGGAAGCCAAGAGAACCCGGTTCCAGGTCCACCCATTCTAGTAACTCTCAGGGTAACCTTGGGCAAATTACTTTACCTTTCTTAGCCTCACCTATAGAATGATACGTTGGATTAGATTAGATGCTCTCTAACTTTTCTTTCAGCTTTAAAATTCTATACGATAGAATTATTATTTGGTATCATTTCTAGTGTTAAAACATAGGATTTCTATGCCTGCCTTTACATTTCACTGATTCAAAGGAGATAAATTATTTAGAACTATAATCCAAGTCCAAGAATGTTTATTGTCATGGTTATAAAACGAAAGTTGTTATGTAAGTTTTATTTTACTATTATGTAAATTTTTCCCCAAGTGTCCCCTTATGGCACAAGTTTTATAGGGACTACATGATCCTTTTGGTCAATAAATTATTATATTCTAGAGGCTTCTGGCAGGATAATGGCAGCCATTTGAATCTGTACCTCTTCACAAATCCTACCCCTAGAACAAAGAGCACAAATGGAATCACCCATGACTCATGCTATCGGCATTACTGGGAGGTAGAAAGTATGCTAAATTTCAATTTATGAAAAATAAAAATAAAAAGTCAAACAGCAAACACTATGAACCTGTGGGTCCAGAGAGTAGGGTAAGGGCAGGTATAAGAGACTCCAAGAGAAAGAAAGAGACAGAGAGGAGAGAGAGAAAAGTTTAGGACAAAGGCAAAACAGACAAAATTGTCCACAGAAAGAAAAAATACACCACAAGTAAGTGCCAAAATAAGAACAGAAGTCAGTGTCTGGTAGTTCACGACACTGGCCACAGGGAAAAGCCTTAAAATCAAGCAAAATCTAAGGTAGCAGCCTGGGACAAGAGTCATTTTCATAAGAGAAAAATGTAAATTGAGAATGGATTGTGTCCATAAAAGAGAGAGCATGAAAGGAAAGAAGGAAAAGGGGGAAATTAAGGACCCAGAAGACAGGAAAGAAAAACAAAAGACAGGTGAACCCCTTCTTTCCTCTCTACCCCCTCTCTACCACCATTGTCATCCATTTACACAACCGTATTTCACAAAATTGACAAGATAGGGTGCTCTTTAAATAGTAACCCAACCCATGAAATGCTAAGAAGTAGGGGAAAAAATTAAACTCGCTATAAAACTCCTGTAGGAAAAAAAAATGAAATGGAAATACGATCATCTCAGCTGATAAAAATTCTCATCAAATAACCAACTACGTCACAAAGGAAGTTGTAAGACAACACACCAACCTAAAATAAGTACCTTCAACAAGCACACAAACATACTTGGGTGCACACACTCAGAACCAGAAATTTTAAAACTAAGAAATGCACCCAAAAACCCCACCCAACAACAACAAAATAGGAAAAAATGCAGTGAAAACTGACTAAACTCACAGAAATTGGATAAGTGAAGAGTAAGTTACAGGTTGTGAAAAGGGTACAGATTTGAATGAACATTTAATGAGGGAAATTGAAGATAAGCTGGAAAAGATGTAAGGATACAAAAATTGCATAAAGAAAATTAAAAGGTCAAAGTGGTTGAAAGAAGATAGAAAAGGTTCAATATATGCATAGTGTTTATGTAGAAGGCAAAGGAACTAGAATTTTTAGAACAATTTGAAAAAGAAGAATATAATGAGAGAGAGAATCTGTCTACCCAACTTCAAGAATTACCATCATAACTGTGTGGTATTGATGGAGAAATACACGTATAGATAAACAAAACAGAATACAGAACCCATAAAGGAACCCATACAAATATGCCCAACTGATTTTTTACAAAGGTGCAGAAACGATTCAAGAAAGGAAAGACAGACTTCTCAATAAATGGTTGCTGAAATAATTGGACATCTACAGGCAAAAATAAAATGAACCTCAACGCAGGTCTCATAACTTATATAAAAATTAACTCAAATGGATCATAGACTTAAATATAAAATATAAATATATAAAAGACAAATTAAAGATATAAATATAAAATTGTAAAACTTTTAGAAAAGAAAAAAAGAAAATCTTTAAAATCTGGGACTAGGTAAAGATATTTTAGATGATACCAAAACACAATGTATTAAACATTTTTTGATAAATTGGACTTGATCAAAATTGAAAACTTTTGCTTTGTTAAAGATTCTGTTAAGAGGATGAAAAGACAAGCTATAGACCAGGAGAAAACATTTCAAAACCGCATATCCAACAAAAGACCTAGAATCTAGAATATATAAAGAACTCTCAAAACTCAATAAAAAAAAAGGGCAAAAGACATGAAGAGACATTTCACCAAATAGATATACAGATGACAATCACATGAAAAGATGTTCAACATCATTAGCAATTAGGGAGATGCAAATTAAAACTGCAATGAAATATCACTATATACCTATTACACTG